TATTTGATTATGTTTATCTGCAGTTAGTTACACAAATTCATATATGGAACTTTGATAACTTGTACTTAGGCACAATCTACTTGTAATCTTGAGTTTTAAGTAATATGCATTAATAAACAGTACTTTACGTATTAAAGATGGTTTTTAAGAGTTTTTGTCAAATGTTTTATAATATAGTATAGATGTTATAACTTAATAATTATCCTAATTATATTTTAGATTCCTTATACTTAAAATAAGATGTTTATCCTGTATTTGATTATGTTTATTAATTAGTTACATGGATTTAAACATATAGCTTTAAACGGTGTCGTTCATGAGGTTTTTGATACCCTGTGCGAAGATGCTAAAAAATGCCTCTATGACCATTTTTTTAAGCAAATGAAACGACGATAGATACGATTTTACTAAATGGTTTGGAACCTAGTCAAGCTAGGCAGCTCAAGCCTACGCCAAATTTTATTAATTAAAATGAAAAATACAAAGGGGGACATAAAAACCAAACCCCCAAATTACAAAATATAAATATATCACCCAAAATGATGTCTTGGTGCACTTCTTGAAGCAAAAATATTAATTAATTTTTCATATTTACCATTCGCTAAAAATTTACTTTCAATACTCAAAATTGCTAACATGTTTAGCCTTTCTTGACTCATGGTAGACCACAAATATGACTTTAATAACTTTAGCTTTAAAAAATTTCTTTTAGCAGATGTTACCGTGACGGGTGCAATCAGCAAAATCATATATGCAAGCAACACATTTGGAAACATATCCATCTTCTTCGCAAACTCCAAAATCTCAATTGATGTCCATGGCTTTTCTTCTTAATATGCTTCCGACGGTATTCCTGCAAAATTTGCAATTCCATAAACAAATACTTCTCATCAATATCACAATCATTACCATTTGTTAATGCAACTTCAAGATTCATACAACACTTTTTCAATTCCTCATCATTTAAATAAACCAACCTTGACCCATCAAACAAAACCAAAAATCGATTCAAAAATTTTCATTTGTTCAAATCTAGTCTTCAATTGAGATAGTCATATTAACCAAAAAAAGAAAATAATCAGTTTTAGGTTTTCTTGAGCAGATTGTTATTCTCTTTCCATATTTGGAATCTCATCAAACTGTTTTTTTTTCTTCTAAAATAAGAATGTTTTATAAGAAACTCAGTCTCAATTCCAATTTCAATTGCAATATGTTTAGCTTCAATAATGGCATAAGTAAGTCCAGTCTCCCTATATTTTTCAAAATAACAAACCAATACCTCTAAATTATTGACCGCAACATCAAGTAGCATATCTTTAGATTGTAACTTTTTGCTAACTAAATTGATTCTATATAAAATTTCATGCCAAATAACCAAATTGAAATAAATTCAAAACTTGAAAGTTCACCATTTACCAAAGATTCAACATCTTTACATAATTTTTCATCATCGCTAACTTGAGAAAATTTCAACAAAGCTTTGAAATTTGAAGAAATACAAATGCAATCGACTGTATCTATATTTGAAATATCGAAACCACAAGGGTGGTGTTTGATTGGTTTGAGCTTGGCTCCAAAGGTCAAAAGTACCTGGATGTCCCAGGTTCAAATCCAAGGAAGAATAAAAATCCCACTGTGGCCACAGAGGTTCAATGTGGTGACTCCGAGCTATCTGCAAAGCAGGTGGCTGGCTTGAGATTAGTCGGCTCGCATAACGGGTTGGATATCCAGGTTAATAAAAAAAAGATCGAGATTTGAGAGTTTAATCGACAATCATGTATTCGAATATATATAGTCGGGCAGTCGGCAATGCATCGACTGATCATTAAGATCGATCCATCGTCTCATGGACAGTCGTTAAACTCGTTACCATTAATCGTCTTCCTCTAGAACTAGAACGTCATCGTCGAGAATCGAAAAAGTCGAACACTCAAAGAACAATAGAAATCGTCAATTTCAAATCGCCAAAGCCAATTGTCTTGTGAATTGTGATGCGTCTATCTTATTGTCACTGATTCAAGTCATTGAGTTTGTTATTAACAGGTGTGGTTAGTTGGGACTTTGTTTCTAATTAAAATCCAAGTCTCAAATTATTAAACCATTTTTTATGCATAAAGTACTGTTTATTAATGCATATTACTTAAAATTCAAGATTACAAGTAGATTATGCGTAACTACAATTTATTAAAGTTTCATGTTTGAATTTGTGTAACTAACTTCAGATAAACATAATTAAATATTGGATAAACATCTTATGTTAAATATAAAAAATCTAATATATAATTAAGATAAACATTGAGTTCTAATAGAGTACTTAATTACTATTTTTATAAACAAAAATTATATTATTAAGTAACAAATAAATTAATTTGTTATTAGACTTAAATTAAATTATAATAAAAAATTGAATTAAATAAATTATTAAGAAAATGAGAACTTTTAAATAATTAATTTAATACTAATATCGATATCGATATATTTTTTAAAATTTTTATGATATCTTCAAATTTATATTTTATTAAAAAAATGTTATTTCTTTCTCAAAATCACATAAAATCGTATTATAAACATCGATAGAGACAGAATAAAACAAAACATTAAAATCGAAATGTATTTCGCTACATTGTACGAATACCATTATAGTTAAGAAAAATGGTGAATTTTTTTTTGTGAATAAATAGTGTTACATCATTAGAGATTTGATGTAAAAGATAATGACCCTCTTAAAATAAGATAATGTAAAACCTGATGTTTGTTATATGATTTCATGGAGTTAGGTTCAAATGATAACAATATTTATTTACGAGAATAAAAAAAATGGTCGAATCATGTGTGATTTTATACTAACATCACATACAAAATCGCATATGATTCACACGATTTTGTCCACAACATGAAGTCGTGGCCAAAGTCGACGACACATCTTTTTTTTACTGTTAATATAAAATCACATATAATTTTATACATCATTTAAC